AATAATAATAAGGTAAATCATACTGGGAATAAAAAAGGTGCAGAGGGAAGAAAAAATCTTATCATATGCCCTTATTTTCAAAAAATAACTTCAACAAACAAACTCAAGTGTGAACGATCTTGTAAAAGTCTAACTTAGGATGAAATAAGCCTTTCCCACATCTCTCATACACAAGGTTATGAGGAAATATTTTACCAAGGGGTTTCTCACTTTTCGTTAATATCTTGACTGTGCGAAGTGAAAATGACTGAAATGAATGAAAACTCAGATGAGTTCAATCTGATCCATAATGTCTATGCAATTATTTATTTACACAAATTAAACAAATCATGAGTTACAACTTAATTGTGGGTAGTCAGTTTCCTATAAYAAGCTTTCAAAATTCTGAATCACGAACAGAGGAGATTATTCTGTCCATTATCTGATTAAGAGAACTGAGTGGTTCTCTTCCACGGTTAGAATGATCTGTCATGGCCTAAATAGAGTTCAGTTTGTAACAGAGTTCCTGTCCTCTTGTCTGGCCTGTCCGAGGCCTGCTTMGAGGCAGTAAATCTTGTTTCTTCACTCGAGGTGACCCCTACAATCTAATAAAAAAACACAAACGAAACAGCAGGTATCCTTCATATCTTTTTTCCACTAAATTATATAATATCCCAAGATTTGAAGGCATATGAACCAAAAGATGTATAGTTTCTTCTTTTTGCCAACAGAGATCAGTTTTTTATCATTTTGTGGTGAGACATATAGGAGTTGTTGGTTCAAATATTGAAAATATATCTCAATATGTCACTCAGAGTATGTGAGCCTATTCCCAGAACAAGCCTGAGCTTAATATATTTAAATTTGATTTGGTTATAATAATAATAATAATAATAATAATAATAATAATAATAATAATAATTATTATTATTATTATTATCAAGTCAGTTTGCTGTGGCAAATTAGACTGATTAGAAAGATAATCAGATAGTTGCTCAACTAATAGTGACAAGTTTCTCTGTTCATGAAATTTGCCTGTTTACCACACGAGCCAAACTTAAGAAAGAAAATATCTTCCATAACAACCACCGGAAGTCTAAGATTAAAGTTTGACAAGATGTTTTGAAAAAAGAAAAGCACACCACAGAAAACTAAAGGAAAAAAATAGTAACAACATTAAACTTTCTTACTTTCGCCTGGTAATGGCCCAGGTCCTTTTTAAAATTTCGTATTTGTCCCTTTGTAGTTGAAAAACCCTGCTGTGGGTAAAACTGAATGAGCTCTAATAAACCAAAATTAAAGACCAACACAGAGCATTTAAATGATACAGCAGTTTTTATTTCACTTCTGTTTCTATTCATGTGGAATATGACGTTAATGCTGTCTAAAACTAATGACATTGACAAACTGTGACAATAAAGAAGAACACTTTAATGAYGTTCAAACAGTCAACAAAAAATGTTTTCTTATGAAATATCACTTCTTTTTACTTCACATAATATTTTTAGAGGGTTCTCTCCTACACTGCCACATTTCAGGTATCAGGAAGCGATACCTGCTTTTTTATTTTTATTTACACATTCTGATGAGGTGGTGAAGGTTTCAGATTCCACTTCTCTTGATTTCATTTTACATCAGTTTTTTAACAAATAAAAACTTTACAAAAATATGTTATCACTATAAAAAAGTAGTCATTATAAAAAAGCCCCAAAGGAAAACCAAAATCGATGATGTGAYGACACAAAAATAAAAAGATAAAAAACAGGATCATCTGCAGCGCTGGTTGACTCTCAGCCTCCCGTCACCTTTGTCACCACCTGGAGCTGAGACCTGTTCTTGATGTTATATTCAGACAGTGGAGCAGAGTCCAGGTCCAGAGGCTTGCCTTCATGGATCAGACTCAAGTTCTCACCTGATCCTAATCCTGCAAACAAAGCGAGAGGCAAAAATATTTCATGCTTAAAGAGAACAGGACAAAGTGACTTTTACAATATCCAGCAGTATATTAGTGAAGGCATTTGTTTTAACTTTCTGTCAGCAGCTGATTGTTACCTTTCTTTGCTGATTTTTTAAATATAAAATTTCATAATTTGGTTATTTAAGCCTTATGTGCAGTATAATAAATTAAAACTATTGACATTGACGTTGACTCTACTAATAAACTCTTAATATAAGGGACACCGTCATTATTAACATTAATACTAAAAGGATCATTAAGTACGTTGGTCATGAAAGTTCATCTCCTGAGTTATTCATTAATTACAGTAATAACTGGTAGAATATACTAATAAGACTTACATCTGTTTATCGTCAATATATTTGACTGTATCTTTGACATCCTCCCTTAAATGTTGCTCCCAATAAATCTTTCTGTTTATYTCCTCAACCACAGTAATAAGCATACTTTTCTGCCCTGGTTGCAAAACTTAGATTTTAAAAACAGATGAATTACCTGAGTTGAGAAACTCCTGCAGTACTCTCATCTTCAGCTGATGAACTGTCTTGTGTCCCAGCTTGATGTGACATGTGCCCGTCTTCTGCTGCTGGACAACCCTGTTTTTCAGTTTGCCAGGGCAGGGTGTGAACAGCTTCCTCTCTCCAGTGGGGGAGGTGAGAAGAAGTTTAGCTTTGCACATCCTTGGTGTTGGTCAGTCTCTGATGATTGGTGTGGCTTCAGGCTTTAAATATAGTGAGAGAGTTAGGTGGGTCTAGCCTACTATCACTTTCTTATTGACTACGTCACCATGATCTGATGTTTATGTAGGCCCTATATTTGTGGGAATTTATGAACATTTTAACTTAAGACCTGCTTGACTGTATCCACTTTCTTTYTCAAAACTCCACAAATGATCACCTTTATTTCCAGAAAATTCTGCTTCACTTGCAAGAAAATATCTGACTGATCCAGGATGGGYTAATTAAACTAAACTGGTTAAAGTTTTGATGATTTTGCAAACTGTCAGTAGTAAAAGCTGGATTCAGATTTCAGAAAGAGAGATGCAGAACATTAAACACTGACGTGAGTCGAGGATCACTTGTCAGTTTTGCATTATTACAAGATGACCAACATGATGTTTGTGGTTGTTTGTTTATTGTTATGGATTCAGTTTAATTTAGTCTCCCATCTAGCCCTCACAGTTGGCCTCTTTGGGTCTTTACTCRTAAATTTGTGACATATAGGCTTCATTTTTTGTCATTATACCATTGGTGTTGTGTTGCCAGTATCAGTTAAAAAAGAAAACAAACAAGATCTTGTGTCATCAGAATGTAAATAGACAAAGGTTTTGTGCAGCATGAAAGTCCCGTGTTGTTTACTTTCACTATCTCTTTAAACAGAAGAAATCACGTTACTTCATGTAAAAGGTAATYACGTGATTTATTATTATTATTAGACAAACTGAGTCACGTGTGGAAAAGGGATTCTGCAGACTAATMTGTTGTTTTTGTTCAACACAAAATSTGTTAGAAGGGAAATGTGTCTCTTTTGTTGCTGTGATGGGTTTTATTTCATCAAGATAAGCTACTTTCTTTTCTTCTCTTGTAAAAAAAATCTAACAAACAAGCTGAGAGTAAAACAGACTSTGATCAGATCGACCTGCGGCAGGTTGAGGAGACTCGTCATTCAGCTCTCTGTGCAGGTAAAATATTTTATCTAAAGAAACTCAGAAGTGTTTTTATCTGCTTTTATTTTGTCAATGAACACATTTTATTTGATCTGCTCAGTCAAGTGTGTTACATATTTTTATACAATTAACACGTCCAAACCATCTCAGTTTGGTCTCTTTAACTTTATCTCCTGGGTTCTACCTCTGATTATCTCATCTCTCCATATGGAGAGCATTTTCAGTTGCTGCTCCGGAAWGAGCTACCTCTACACGTCAGGCAGGCCTGTTTTTAAAACTAATCTTAAAACTTATTTTGATTCACTGGCTTTTAACACTGTTTGAGATCTTGGTCTGTTTTAGCTGTTTTTTGCTTGTTTTTAGTGTTTGAAGGTTTTTAGTGTTGATTTGTTTTATTGTTTTTCGRCCCCTCATGTAYAGCACTTTGTGTCAGTGGCCGCTGTTTTAAAGCGCTTTATAAATAAAGTTGATTTGATTTGATTTGATCTCCTGAAACTAAAAAATAAGAGGTTTCATTTTTTTGTTGTTTTTTTTTACATGAGATGCAGCAGCTACTAAGGATGGGATCAAACAGCTCTGCTCCAGCTCCGACTCTGACTAAGTCTACGATTCTGGCTCCRGCTTCGGCTTTGACTCTGACTACGACTACGACTCCAGCTCCAGTTTCAGCTCCACAGAAGTGTTATGACCCAAATGATTCTACTCTGAAGTTTGTGGACAGAGAGGATGAATTAGACTGTAAGTACTGATGTTAGTTTCTGACTTCTTATAAACTAATTAATCATGTTGAGAACCCACACAGTGCACTAATACTTGGCCCAGATATCACAAAGAATGACAGCCCTTTGGTTTGTATTTTACACTTTTTGCAGCCATATGGTTTAAACAGAGGAAGAGAGTCTTATCAATGCGCTCCTTCTCTCTGTAATATAAACAAAGTTGGTTATGTTCAAAAGTCTGACATAAAAGTACMGCCTCCAGGGACGTGATCAAGAAGTCAGAGGTGTATGTTAAGAGGTTGAATCTTCATTATTAGTACAGTCTCTCCCTTAGATTCAGCCTGGGACAGCCTAGGCTCTTGAGAGTGATTGTTGTTGTTTTTGTTCTCATTAAACCCAAAGCCTTTGTCTCTGAGGCCTGCTGCTGCGGGCCTGATTGGAGTCAGAGATTGAGAGTAAAACTTTCTGGAAGAGAACCAACAGGTTTTCTGCTATTTTATCCAGACTTACAATTGAATTATTATGGGCTTCTTACACAATGATGAAATGTGTCTTCTGCATTTGACCCATCAGACATCRGATACAMCCAATCSGWGCAGCAGGCAGCTATGTGAGTGCCCGGGGCGCTGCTAGGGATTGGGTAATTTGCTCAAGGACACTATGATGTGTGGGCATGGCGGGGAATCAAACCTGTGAGTTACAGGTTCCAAGTTGGCTGCGCTACCACTGCACCACAACTGCCCAAAGTCAACCTCCAAAATAATGTCATGCAATATTATGAGACATCCCGCTCAGAGTACAGCATGTGTTGTGAATGACTCCCAGTTTCTACCACATCAAATTTTGTCTCAGCATCTGTCAAACTGACTGAGTTGYAGACATTTTTGTGTGGGCTAAGGTCATTTAGCTGAGTGGTAAACATACATATWGTCAATTAATATTTCCTGAAATGTTTAATAAATAAAGACAATATGAATGGTGAAGTTGTTGGATGCAACATGAAAATAACATTGTGTATTTGTTTCTTCAGTTTTGTGTGAAGGCTTCCCGTCTCTGAGAGCTCAGATGTCCTGTGGTCACGCTGTGACCCCGATGTCTCTCACCAAATGGTGTCTCCAGCAGCTGGAAGAGGTTCTGTCAACTAAACTGAACTGTTTGGACTTGTCTTCATATAAGATTCTGGTGATTTTTTTTTTTTTAACATTTTAAAGGGTGAAAGCAGATTTACGTGTGGTCAGTTTGGTTGTGATGCTGAGTGGTCTTATACAGAGGTCTGTAAGATGGCTCTCCTGACTCCTTTGGAGAGAAGATACTTTAGGAAAATCATGGCCCAGAATGCTTCTACAGGCAGAGAAGTATGTACCTTTGAGTGGAGCACTTTTATTTTTACTCTGAATTTAGATTTAAAAGRTAATAATCAGTCTCTTGTTTTCCTCCACCTCTCAGTGTCCTGGATGCAAGACCCGAACTGTGAGACAGAGCGACAACAACCTTTGTGTCCTCTGCMAAGTCTGTACAGTGAAGAAAGGACACGTCTATGAGTTCTGCTGGCAGTGTCWGAGGGAGTGGAAAGGTCCGAAGCCTCGCTCAGACCGCTGTGGAAACATCAGCTGCTATAACTCGGTGCTGGAAACACTRCAGACCTGCCCAGACATCGTCTTTGAGTCTGTGGAGGGAGTGACAGGGTGCCCCTCCATCCGAGCCTGTCCCACCTGTGGCACACTGCAGGAGCATCGAGGAACTGGTTGTAAATACATCAGATGTTCTCGATGCAGGGTCAGGTATTGTTTTGTGTGTC